CACTCACTCTAGCCTGGGCAACAAAGCAAGACTCTGTCTCAAAAACAAAACAAAACAAAAAAACCAAAATTCTGATCACAGAATATATTTCCTAACCTTGTTCTTAGCTTGAGATGGAAGAGAAAAATATGTTCCCTGAGAATCCCATACAAGTCCAGACTTACAAAGATTGGAGACCTGAACTCATTTTATGTGAGTTGTTCAAAATATTCCAAACCAAAAACAAAAAGAAAGGCAGCATGGTTTCAGTGATACTAGATGAAATAGATGTTAAGGCATTACTAAATACTGCTACATATTAATATAAGGTTGAATTCCCAGGAAGATAGAAAAGTTTTAAACTTGGACACACTTAATAAATTAACTTGAAAACACATAAAATAAAAACTGAAAACCACGTGAGAAAATAGACAAATTTTACCATCAAAATGAGCAATCATTAAGTTATGCTAATAAAAAATAAGTTGAGTATGTAAAATATCTGAATACATTAGTTTGACCTAACAACTTTTTATAAAAACCTGTACCAATAGCTACATATAGAATAACCAGGCCGGGCGCGGTGGCTCACGCCTGTAATCCTAGCTCTTGGGAGGCCGAGGCGGGCGGATTGCTCAAGGTCAGGAGTTCAAAACCAGCCTGAGCAAGAGCGAGACCCCGTCTCTACTATAAATAGAAAGAAATTAATTGGCCAACTGATATATATATATAAAAAAAAAAAATTAGCCGGGCATGGTGGCGCATGCCTGTAGTCCCAGATACTCGGGAGGCTGAGGCAGCAGGATTGCTCGAGCCCAGGAGTTTGAGGTTGCTGTGAGCTAGGCTGATGCCACGGCACTCACTCTAGCCTGGACAACAAACCGAGACTCTGTCTCAAAAAAAAAAATAAAATAAAATAAAATAAAATAAAATAAAATAAAATAAAATAAAATAAAATAAAATAACCAATTTAATCACAAATAGAACATTTACAACAACTGATTATGTACTAGGCCATAAAAAACTCTCAACCAATGTCAAAGAATTAATATTGCAAAGAATCTCTGATTATAACTGAGATTAGTTAGAAAATAATAACCAAAAAATATTTTTCAAAATTAATACAGAAATTTAAAAATATATTTCTAAATAAATTTTTGGTAAAAAAGAAATCATGTTGGGAGCTAAAAAAACAAAAACAAAAACCTTAGTACTTAACAACAGAAATTCAACTTAAAATCTTAGAATGCAGTAAATAGGGACTTAGAAAAAAAAAACCATAGTCTTAAGTGATTATTTTAGAAAAGACAGAAGATTTAAAATTAATAAACTCTGCACCCAACTAAAGATTATTTGGGGGATTGAGGGGAGGAGAATAAATCCAAAAAAGAATTAAGGCAAGATGAGAAAAAAATTAATTAAGCAGAAAAAAAGATAGAATGGGTAAGACTAACATAGTTCAAAAGTTAATTCTTCAAAAACAAGTAAAAAACTATTTTCAAGATTAATCAAGGAAAGCTAAGGCAAATAATTAACTATATTCAGAATGCAAAAGAACAAAAAGGATGGAGCAGAGATGATAAAAGAGAATATATTAACAGTTTTATATCAACAAATATAAAAAACTTAGGTGTTATTGGTATTCCTAGAAAAAAGTCAATGACCAAAAATGACTCTAGAAGAAACAGAAAATCTAAATGGTTCAATAACTGTTAAAGAACTAAATCAGTATTTCATATTTTCCCCACATAGAATACACAGGCCCACAATGGCTGCATAGGCTAGTTTGAGCAAACATTGAAGGAATTGATAATTACCATCTTACATAAACTCTCAGAGAACTGAAAAGAACAAATATTCATACAATTAATTTTAGTAGTATACCATAACCAAAGCCAGACAGGACAGCACATAAATGAAAAACCCCAGGCAAATCTGATTCATGATCATGGATGCAAAAATTCTAAAAGATATAATACTAGCAAAGGGCAAAAAAATCATGGCCAAATTGATATTTATTTATTTATTTTGAGATAGCATTTTGCTCCATGGCCCAGGCTACAGTGCAGTGGCATCATCACTCACTTCACAGTAACCTCCAACTCCTAGGCTCAAGTGATCCTCCTGCCTCAGCCTCCTGACTAGCTAGGACTACAGGCATGTTCCACCATGCCTGGCTAATTTTTTAACTGTATTGTAGAGACTAGGTCTCACTGTATTGCTCAGGCTGGCCTCAAACTCCTGACCTCAAGCGATCCTCCTGCCCCAGCCTCTCAAAATGCCGAGATTACAGGTGTGAGCCACTGCGCTCAGCCATGACCAAATTAAGTTTAATCCAGGAATTCAAGATTGGGTCAATATCCTGAAATCTATTAATATAATTTACCACATTAAGGAATTCAAGGAGAAAAAAAATTTATACATATACTCCCTTACATATAATTATTTCAGTGGATGCAGGTAACACATATGATAAAATTCAATGCCAATGCCATTCATGGTAAAAATTGTTAGCAAAGTAGGAATGAAAGAAAATATTTCCTTTACGTGAAGGATTATCTACAAATATCTACAGCATATATCATATTCAATGGTGAAATATTAAAAGTTTTTACTTAAATGTCAGGAATAAAAGTGACAAGAATGTTAGCTATCATTATTTCTATTATACATAGTATTGGAGGTCTTAGCAGATACAATAAAACAAGAAATAAAAAAGATTGGAAAATGAAAAACTGCCTTTTCCTAAAGTGTTTATTATTACCTGTATAGAAAATTCAAAAATAAAAATCTATAAACATAATACTAGATTTTGAGATTCATATTCTAATTAAAATTCTTTATACATGTTTATGCAACACATATACAAAGACACTAGAAGGCTCTGCATGAAAGATTTAATAAGTTTATTTTTAGGTAGTAACTTGATGAAAGATTTTTTTATTGCAACATTTTCCCCAACGTTCCGCACTAGATTATTTTATGTCCTAAGAGAATAATGTCACAAGACATCAAATAAAGATATATAATTTTATGTCTACACACTAGATACAAACAAAAAAATGCAAGTGAAAGAGATAGCTCACAATAGCCAATATATGGAATCAACTTAAATGTCCATTAACAGGTGAATGAATTAAGAAAATATGGTACACACACACAATAGAATACTATTCAGCTATAAAAAAGAATGAAATTCTGTCACTTGCAACAACATGGATGGAATTGGAGGACATTATGTTAGTCCAGGCACAGAAAGACAAATATTGTATGTTCTCATTCATATGTGGAAATTTTTAAAAAATTGAACTTATGGAGATAGTGTAGAGTAGTGGTGGCAGAGGCTTAGAAGGATAGTGGGGAGGGTAGGATAAAAAGGGTTGATAAATGGGTACAAATATGCAATCAGAGAGAAGGAATAAGATTTAGTATTTGGTAGCACAGTAGGGCACCTATAGTTAACAATAATTTATTGTATATTTCAAAGTAACTAAAAGGTGAAATTGGAATGTTCCTAATACAAAAGAAATGATAAATGCTTGAGGTGATGGATATCTCAGTTACTCTAATTTGATCATTACACATTGTATGCTTGTATCAAAATATCATATGTATTCCATGAATATGTGCAACTAAAAAAAAAAGACATCATTTAATATTAATAGCAACATCAAATATAAGGGTATCTAGGGATATATCAAAAGATTCACAATACTTTTCTGAAGAAAATTATAAAAATTAATTGAAAGAAATAAAAAGACTTTAAAAAATAGAAAAATACACCATGTTAATGGTTTAAAGTCTCAACATCAGAAATTAATCTGTAGATTCAATACAATTCCAATCAAAATCTCAAAAAAGATTTTTGTGGAATTTAACAAGCTGATTCTAAACTTATACAGAAAAGAAAAAGGACACAAATAGGTAAGACATTTCTAAAGAAGGGGAAATATATAAAAGAAATTGCTCTACTGGGAAACAAGATTTATTATTAGACTTTAATAATTCAGATAGTGCAGCACTTGTGCTGGAATAGACCAAATAAAACAAAGCGGAGGCTCAGAAACCTGAGATATGACACAGTCACACAGCAAATCAGTGGGTAAAAGAGGTCCTATTTTAAAACAGTGGAACAATTAGGTCTCTTCATAGGACAACAATGAAAATTCATCCCTATCCAACACTTTATCTTAAAATAATTTTTAAGTCAACAAATTCTACTAGAATAAAGGTGGCAAAATAGGAATGGGTGATGAATTTTGATTGACAGTAAGGTGACCTTGATCTGGTCCTTGAAGGATGAAAAGGATTCTTTTTTTTTTTTTGAGGCACAGTCTTGCTTTGTTGCCCAGGCTAGAGTGAGTGCCATGGCGTCAGCCTAGCTCACACCAACCTCAAACCCCTGGGCTCAAGCGATCCTGCTGCCTCAGCCTCCCGAGTAGCTGGGACTACAGGCATGTGCCGCCATGCCCGGCTAATTTTTTCTATATATATTAGTTGGCCAATTAATTTGTTTCTATTTATAGTAGAGACGGGGTCTTGCTCTTGCTCAGGCTGGTTTCAAACTCCTGACCTCGAGCAATCCGCCCACCTCGGCCTCCCAGAGTGCTAGGATTACAGGCATGAGCCACCGTGCCTGGCCTATGAAAAGGATTCTTGTGGGAGAACAATGTGGGAAATGGACTTCCATTCCAGGCTGAGAGAACAGCAAGATCAAAGTCTCAGAGTGTGAGAGGCATGTTCTGGGAATGGACTAACAGCCAGCCCCACTAAACAGGAAAGAGACATACAGATGTCACTAGCTCACTGGTCCTTTATAATAATAGTATTTTTGCACCTATGCTTCACCAGATTTCTGGCCTTCGTTCTGATGAGAACCAATTATGTTCACAAGAAGGAAATTTTACAAATACAGTACTTCTACACTGACACTCATCTAAAAACCATTTCTATTAAGTACAGCTCAGATATGCAAAAAGAAATCGAAAACATTTTTTAAAAGCTTGAGAGGTTCAAGTTACCTTTTCTTTTTTTTCTTGGGTGCCTTGGTCTTGGGTATTGGCAATTTTGTTGGCCTTGCTGTGCACATTAGGAATGACCTACCATCACACAAAAAGGGGCGGGAGGAGGAAAAGCAAAAGGTTAAATGCCATAATCATTACATTTCTTAACATATTTTTTCAAACAGCTAAAATCTTACCTAACTATGTAACTTTATCTGAACAGTAAAGATATGAGAAGTACAATTTAAGGCAAACAATAAAACTTGGGAAATCTGAAAAGATATATAGGCCTAAAGTATAAAATTATATATATGCCATGAGGGCATATCAATTCACACATTTGTATGGGGATCCAGAGGTGAAGATGAAGAAGGTTACAATACTAATTGTCATCTAAACATCTCATTTTGCAAGATAAAGTTTTAGGGGTGACCTAAATTAATTCCTAAAACATAGGGTAACTCATTTATTTGACAGATTTACCCTATTTATCACTCAATAAATATTTCACTATCACTGTTAACATAAGCATGGATTACAAGTATATTTTTACTACTGAATAAGCTCAATGAGAGCAGAAACCTAGTGTTACTTTTCACTATTTCCCTGGTGCTCCCAAAGGGTCTAATACATAGTTGGCTCAATAAATGTTTATAAACCAATGAAGCAGCTCAGTTTCAAAAAAATAATTTTAATTCTTTTTTTTTAAAGTCTGGTCAAGTGAAGCAGTGGGAGTGGAGAAGGAACAAAGGAATCATAACTGGTTGTGATCAATTAGTTGTAAACACCACCGTACTTGGACCAACCAATTTTAATTCTTAATGGTGCCAACAACACAGATTAATTTTTGACTAACTTTCTTTTTATAAAACTATCTATAAACATCTTAGAAAATTATGAAATTTTTAGTGATTTTCTTTAAGGTTCTTCAAAATGACTAACACAAATAATCCTGGTATAAGATCTGATGACAGACATGAAGATTAAAAAATACAATAAATATCCTTGCTCAGAAAATTAAAGGATTGGCTGCCTAGAGATAATTAAAAACAAAACAAGAAATCTACTTCTCTATAAATGTAATTTAAGAATAAATTTCTTCATTTTTAATATAGAGTATAAAAAAATAATTTTAGAATGACAAAGTATCAGAAATGTTTCATTTAAGTAAAAACAATAATGATACATTAACATATATCCAGTGCTTCCTATGTGAAGAGGCATTATATCTCTATTTAATATACACAACAACCTCAGTCATAGTTCAAAGACTGGCAAGTCTATAGGCATGTGTTTCTCGTTCTAATGAATTCTGTAACACCTTTGCCTCCCCGACAAATGAAGCTATCTGTGCACACTACGCCTACTTTCTACCATGGAAAAACCAGCGGGTGCTAAATAGTAGAGGCTTTGGGACAGGGCAGAATGTCATTTGCCACTCATAATGTTTACACCGTTTTTCAAGTAGCAGAGAAATATATTTCTGTAAGCATATAATTAGCAAAATTTAGAAGACAAAATACTCAATAATACTACATCCTTTAGAAAACTAGAAGATAGGCCGGGTGTGGCGGCTCACACCTGTAATCCTAGCACTCTGGGAGGACAAAGCAGGAAGATCATTTGAGCTAAGGAGTTCATGACCAGCTTGAGCAAGGGCGAGACCCTATCTCTACTAAAAAAAAAAAAAAAAAAAAATAGAAAGAAATTAGCTGGACAACTAAAAAATATACATATAAAAAAAAAATTAGCCGGGCACGGTGGCACATGCCTATAGTCCCAGTTACTCGGGAGGCTGAGGCAGGACAATTGCTTGAGCCTAGGAGTTTGATGTTGCTGTGAGCTAGGCTGACGCCATGCACTCTAGCCTGGGCAGCAGAGTGAGACTCTGTCTCAAAAAAACAAAACTAAACTAAACTAAACTAAACTAAACTAAACTAAACTAAACTAAACTAAACTAAACTAGAAGACAGCATATTTCTTATATAAGTAAAGATATAGTCTTATATGATTAATATGCCAAAATATGCATGTGTCCAAAAAAATTAAATGCCATTATAGACCAATGGTATTAGGAAGTAGAACTGGAATATAGGAAGAAAGAAAACAACACAGGATTATAAACTTAATGAGGTGAAGAGATAACTTAATTTCAAAAGGATTTGTTTTTAAACATGGGGAAAAAATATGTGCTGCTTCTGTGAAATGCAGTTATGTTATTAAGTGTAAAAAATTACCTTGGCATAGAAACTTTCTATGGGTCCTACTCTCAAACAAGCATTGGCCAAGCAAATCTAAGTGGATACACACGTTTTTCCAACACGCTGAAACTATTAATTGAGAAAGTCAGAGGGAGCTTAAAAAGGTACTGTATTGGTGATGCTCCCGAAGCAGCTGGTGATGCACACGTCTAAACACTACACCACTCAGTTCCTGGTGCTGGGGATTTGTGTGTGACTAAGGCACTGGTAGACACTGGCCCTCTGAAGGGCACGACATTAGGAAATGACTTCTTTTGGGGTTTCAAGGAAAGTTCAAAATTTAAGGCAGACTAGACAAAAACGATTAAGCATTGCCTGTATTTTCTGTTCCTGGATGATCAGGAGTACTTGCAAAGACATGAAACTTGATTTTTCTTTCTCATTTGCCTCACGCAATAAGAATCGCTTTGCACTAAAAGCAAAGTTGAAAATGGAACAAGTCATGGGCAGAGTAATTAACACCACCAGTGGATTATGCTCCCTTGGCTAGGACCACAGACAGATCAGTGCTTGATGAACTGAAAGCACCACGTGGCAGTCTGTTACACTACACAGAGGGTAAGTGACTTTTGAGCGTGGCATGATATGGCATGATGCTGAAGAGACATTGAAAGAAATTGCACTGTTCATGCTATCCAAGCAAAAGCATCTACCTCAGCTCACTAGCAAAGGCTGTACTGAAAGCCTGGCCTTTTGGGTTGACTTTAAAATCTAATTAAATGCTTTGAATATTTTTTTGGCAGGGCATTCACAGCTGGCTGCATAAATGTATAATTTGATTGACTCATTCTCGCTCAAAATTGTTGATTTGGAAGTATAATTTGGCAAAGACTAATTTGGCCAATTTTCCTACTGAACTCAGTTTCCAGAAATAAAATTGATGGCCTCAGTTACATCCTCACAATATTACAAGAGTGAAAAACTGGATTCCAAACATTCTTATTGAATTTCAAATTTCATGAAAATGAGAGGACTTTATTCAGTTCACCTCTCTCAATTAGTCTTGATGGTGCAAACACAGTGTTAAGAATGGAAGGCACTGCACTGCACTGCAGCGCCACACAGCAGAGGTGGCCAGGAGGGATGGAGGCTGTAGCCCACTGTGCACGGGCAGGCTCCAAGTATGCTGAAACATCACATCCATGTCCCCAGCCAACCACCTCTTTGCACAGTTTGCTGTACAAATATTATTTTCTGTGTGCCTTGACATTCAAAAGGTTGGAAAGCATTACATAACTATACTGAAAAGCAAACACTTTTTAAAAGTAAACAAAGTTTTTCTACTGTTCATATGTACTGTTTGGAACAGCTATCTTCCATTATAAAGAAAAATAATATTGCTTCCAGTTAAAGGATTTAAGGGTGACATTTCTGCTGCACATTGCAATATAAAATACACATCCTGCCAGTGGCATCTTCATATCAGAGTTTCAAATCTATATCGAAGGAGTAATTAATTACAGAAGAAAATTTTGATGAAATACTGCTTTTTTTAAAAATTTGGAATCTCCAACTTTAGAGCATACAGCAATATATAACATGTCAACACATTTGTATTTTTACATGCTTTTAATAAACACAGAACAATTGATAGTATCTCTATAATGTTTTGATATCTGACCTTATGTTCAAAGTATTTTGTAAACAAAGTAACTGGCTCAGAAAAGTTAAGTAAGTTGTCTCCAAGTTAGCAAAGCTGATCTAGGAAATCAAGCAGTCGAAAAAAGGTCTGTTTAATGCCACAGCCTGTGACTTACCCCAGCACGTACCATAATGACTCAAATTTGACCAGCAGATCAAAATTCGAGGAAAAAAATGGGAAACTGAAGTTAATGACTAAGTTTTTAATGTAGCTAATACTTTTCTAAGTAATGGTATAACTGAATAACAATGAAAAAATATATATATAAAATACTTAGAAGCAAAGCTTGGTCGACAGGTATAGAGAATATTGTTAAACTTTTTGAAAATATGAACTAAAACTTACTCTTGGAGTGGGTGACAAGCTCTGGACAACAAACACCACAGGGTTTCCTGCACTCTTAATGGCCTCAACTGCTTCTCTGTGGGAGGCGTTCTGCAAATCCACTCCAGACACCTAAAACACAGAAGCAATTTATTTCAATTAGAAAGGCACTAGATGTGGTGGATAGGTTAATTCAAAGTTTATGTGTATTATCTACTTATGAGAGCAGCCAGAGTCTAATGAATTAGACCACAGCCAGAGGAAAATAAGATTGGACCATAAAAAAGCTTTGCTGTTTTTTGGAGAATATGTTCAAAGAAAATGTTTTGCCTTCAAGAAAAGTAACCAAGACAAATATATTAATAACAACAGCCCTGGTTAAGCATAATTACCCCAAACAGGTAACTCAGTCAGTAACAGAACCTTAAGATGAGTGGGACTGGGGAGGAGGGAGGAAGGAATCTCTATGGACTTTTATCTCTCCATTCAACTGAGAGGAATGATATTTTAAGCAAATTGCTTATTATCACAAATGAGTAGTTGAACATTACTCAAATTGTGTTAAAAAAGAAGCACAAAAAATAATGCACAGGTTCTTTTACTAAAAGTATTCTATGTTCAGCAAATTTGGGTTTCTCATTATAGGACTCTCAGAGAATCTAACTTGCTAACATGCCCATAAATCTCCAAGAGCACTCTGTATTTCCTAAACCTATTTAACATAACTAATTTTTCAAACCTATAATGTAACAAAGCCTTGGTAAATGTTGGGGTGGTCTACGGTCAGTGGATAGTGACAATCTGTGGCTACTACTTTGCTATAAGAGGACCAAAGAAATAAGAACGAAGGTAGCGAGTGATGTAGGATCAAGGAGTTTTTTAGATAGAAGATATTACAGTAATAATGATGCAGTGGAGAGAAAAAAAATGGATGAGGAAGGAGAGAAGTGACAACTGTAAGAGCAATATCCTTGGACAGTCAAGAAGAAATGATTTCTGCTGCACACAAGATTGGCTTTAGAGAGAAGCACAAATCTACTTCCTCTGTTGTTAGAGATGCAGTTAAAAGACTGGTACGAACAGGAAGCAAGGGGAAGTTCCCTTTGACAGCCTCTATTTTCCCAATAAAACCTGAAACTAGGACCATAAACTCAGAGTAAGACTGGAAAAAAAGAGGATTAGGAGATTTGAAATATTAATAGCTACCTATAAAAGTAGGAGACTAGGGGAATATTATAGGACAGCAGGGATGAACTAAAGACCCACGTGAGAAGGTGGGTCATGAATTTCAGATGCTACTTTCTCCAGCCATGCCAGAGACCTGGAATAAGCAGAATTGCTCTTACCTAGAGTGTGGTTCTCCCAGATAAATTCAGTGAAAGGAAGGAGGATTAGAAGGGTTGGGAGCATATGCAAGGGAATGACAGAGTGATCAGCCCCCTGAAGGTGAACAGGTTGAGGAGAAAAGTGAGTGCACAAGAAGCTCTGGGGCTCGGATGTGAATGCCTGTAATATGATATGATATATGTTAATATTTGGTCTTTGCCCTTGTTCCAATCACAGAGTACCTAAAACCCTTAAAATTTCCTAGGCGACAGCAGTGTCTTTTGTTATTCATAAAAGCCCCTTTCAGATCACACTTGAGTTTGTGATAATGAGGTAGCTTAGGGTAGAGCTCTTAGATAGCTTCAGGAGGGGGCCCGCCACCAGGAAGACCAAGTGATTAGAGAATTAGAGGGTTGGAACTTTCAGCCCCCCACTCAGAGAGGTGGGAAAGGAAAGGGGGGTGGGGGCTGGAGATGAAGCTCTGGAAAAATTCCTAAATGACTGTAAGATTATGGTTGCTGAACACGTGGAAGTGCCAGGAAGGTAGTGCGCCTAGAGAGGGCACGTAAGTTCCACACACCCCTCCCTTGTCCTATGCATCTCTATATCTGCCTGTTCATCTATATCCTTTGTAATATCCTTAATAATAAACTGATAAGTGTGTTCCCCTGAATTCTGTGAGCTGTCCTAGCAAATTAGTCAAATCCAAAAAGAGGGTTGTGGGAACCTGTTTGTAGCTGGTTGGTCAGAAGTATAGGCAACATCTACTACCTGTGATTGGCATCTGCAGTGGGGCCAGCTTTGTGCGACTGAGTCCCCAACCTGTGGGATCTGACACTGACTCCAGGTACACAGTGTCAGAATTGAACCAAATTATAAGACACCCTATTGGTGTCCACTGGAGAACTGGTGGGTGTGTGTGTGGGGGAAACCCACGTCTGGTCACAGCAGCGTTCTGTGTTGAGTATGAGAGTAAAAGGAAAATGTTGGTGAGAATGTGGAGAAACTGAATCACTCATGCACTGCCAGGTGGAATGTCAAATGGTATAGACACTCAGGAAAAGTTTTACAGCTCTTTTCAAAACTAAAAATGGACTTACCATAAACCCCAGTAATTACATTCTTGGGTATTTATACCAGGGAAATGAAGACTTATTTTCACTCAGGAATTTGTATATAAATATTTATAGCAGCTTTATTTGTAATAGCCAATAACTCTAACTACCCAAGTATCTTTCAACGGGTGAATGTTAAACAAACTGGTACTTCCATATCAGAGAACGGTAGGTGTTGCTATATATAGTTGGAATGTATGTGTCCCCCCAAAAGTCATATGTTGAAATCTTCACCCCCCATGGTGAAGGTATTAGGATGTAGGGCCTTCGGGATGTGACTAGGTAACAAGGGCTCTGCCATCAAGAATGGGATTGAGTGGCTTTATAAAATAAGAGTGGCCCTATAAAAGAGGCCTAAGAGAGCTAGTTTATCCTTTCTACCACGTGAGGATATAGTAAAAAGGCACCATCTATGAATCAGAAAGCAGGTGCTCACCAGACACCAATCTGCCAAGGTCTTGATCTTGGACTTCCCAGCCTCCAGAACAGTAAGAAATAAATTTCTGTTTATAATATTTTGTTATAGCAGTCTGAATGGACTAAGACAACTACTCATATAGGACAAATTGAATGAACCTCAAAAAAATCATGCTGAGATTTTCTTTTTTTAAGGCAATCTCAAAAAGATACATAATACATAATTGCATTTATGTAACAATTGTGAAATAACATAATTGCAGACATGGAGAAACAGGTAAGTGGTTGCCAGAGGTTAGGGATAGAGGAGGGAGGGGAAGGGAAGTTTTGTGGTAATGATACAGTTGAGTCTCTTGAATGTGGTGGTACACATGCAAGGTTTTACACATGATAAAATTGTATAGAGCTACAAACACACACAAATGAATGCATGCATAACTGGTGAAATCTGAATAAACTCTATGGATTGAGCCAATGTCAATTTCTTAGTGTTGATATTGCAGTACTGTTGTGTAAGATATTTACATTCAGGGAGCCTGAGGGAAGGGTACATGGGACTTTCCTATACATTCCTTTGTAATTTCTCTCTATGGATCTGTAAGTATTTCAAAATACAAACTTGAGAGGAACAGATAAAACAAAATGCAAAATGAATATTTAAAAAGTAAGTTCAAATAAATCAGTAATCAAAGTAAAAGATGAATTAATGTCACTTATTTACTTAATTATCAATTTAGATTTCAAAAAAGCAAATGCAGTTGTATGTTGCTGACAAAAACTACAACTAAAACAAAATGACAAAGAATAGTGAAAAAGAACGAATTTAAAAAAACGTACCATGTAAATTACTAACTAAAAGAAAGCAGGATTACCAATATTAACAAAATAGAATGTAAGGCGAAGAGTAATTAATAGGAATAGAGAAAAACTACCTACTTCCAAAAACAAATCACTAAAGAGATATGAAGTTCTATGTAGCTAACAACAAAAACTTTAATACATACAGGAAAAACAGAATCACAAAGAATAATGAGCAGACCCATAATTGCAATAAGAGACAAACACACCTCTAACTAAAACTCAGGGAGGAAAAATTTAGCAAGGATATAGAGCTCTTCATTTGTTTAACTGCCTATTGCATCTACATGGATGTCACATGGGCACCTTAAACTTAGCACACCCAAAACTCGTCTCCCCAAATCTGCTCTTCCCGAAGTCTTCCACATCTCAGTAAATGGAAATTCTACCTTTGATTCTTGAAGCTAAAAAGTTTTTAAGTTATCTTTTACTCTTTTTCTCCTCCTCTGCATTCAATCTGTTAGTGAGTCCTGTTGTTCTTGCAAAAGAGGTCCGCAATCTGACCATGTCTCACTATCTCCCCTGCTCTCCCACTGGTCTGGGCCTCCACTGTCTCTCTCCTAAATGACTGCAAAAGCCTTCCAGCTGAGGTCCCTGCTTCCACCCCTTCCCTAGAAGTGAGAATACTCCTTTTAGACATTGTATATGTGCTCCTAACTCTCCAACAGATTTCCATGGAGTTCAGAGCAGGCGTTCCAGGCCTCCCAAGCTCTGCAGGAGGTGGTTCCTTACTCCGTAAGCCTTGCCTCTCATGCCTTGCCCTGTGTTCACTCCACACCAGCAACGCTGGCCTTCTTGCTGCTCCCTGAGCACACATCTAGGCAAGCTCCTACCTCAGAGCTTCCTCATTTTCTTCTCCCCCCTCATAATTTGTCCCAGTATCATCTTCCACAGTAAATCTATTACAATTCCAACTCATGCTTTCATACCACCCTGGCACTCCTTATCCTCCTCCCCTGCTTTATTTTTATCCCTAGCTACTTACTACAGTCGAACATTCTACACACCACTTACTTATTTTTACCTTCTACCCCACCCCCACTATCATGTAAACATCATAAGGGAAGGGACTTTTGGTCATTGTCTTCACTGCCATATCATCAGTGTGCCTAAAAAAATTTTAAGCATTTCACAGCACAAATACAATTCAACATTTGCATATACAGAGCAGCTTTATGTAATTCTTTGATTTAATCCTCACAAAAATGCTATTGGCTCTAAAGTCTCAGGTGGGTCCAGTAATTTGTCTAAGAACACATAGTACATTAAAAGAACAGAGTCCAGCCTTCATGACCTCCAGAGTTCTTTTCTTTCTGTTAGAACTGAAACACCATGGCCGATGGTTAGCAGCATATCAAGAACAAGCAGACTGTGCTTGGAGATACCTACTATGGTGCCGCTCAATAAACCCAATGCAAAGAAATGTATCACATTCAGACCTCAGGGCATTCTCAGCCCTTCCATGGGCCTTTAAAACTTGGCTCCCCCAAAGCCTGTCACACGCAAACCATGGATCCACCCCTCCCCCAGTGGGGTCTTTGACATTCCAGGGTCAACTTATTTTTCTAAACAAGCATAGATATTCCACTGGCACACAATTATAAAATTCAGAGCTTGAAAACAAAAACTTACAGCTCATTAAAGACCACGGGAGAAGCATAATGCCCACCATCTGCCCATTCTGTATAGAGCCCTTTGTGAGCTAAATTATTTTTTTGAAATCAGCTGAGGTTTTTGTTTCATCATTTTATTTGCTTACCTTGCTCTACTTGAGAAGCTCATAAATTCTGCATACAACATACAAACTAAGGCATATAAATGGAGCACACTAATTGTACATACACACTCCCCGACAGAAGAAAGGTCTTCTGGCTAAATGAATATTTCACCGTCTTACAGTATGTTTCAAACAAAAATAGTACTTTAATATCATTTACCTCAAGTATCTTATCTCCAGTTTTAAGTGCGTTTGTTCTTCCTGCTGGACTGTCTTCTAAAACTTGTTTGATAAATATACCTTTAAGTTCCTCTCCATTCTTCAGGCGTTTTATAACAGTTTGTCCACCAACAATACTGATACCAAGAGACACATTGGGTTCCCTAAAAATCTCAACACTATAAAAAGAAAAAAAAACAAAACTCACTCATTAACAAGTTAATTTAATCTGTTAGGCTGTCACTGTAAGTATTCAGCTTGTACCAAATCCTTGTGACATATTTTATTATATAAAAATAAATTTTCTAAATATATTTTTTAAATGTTATATAAATTTCACCTAGATCCAAAATTATAAGATGCTATAAATAATTCATGATATGCAAAAGTTGCAATTGTGAAATGGATAGATTCTGAAACAATAAATATAACTCAATATACAGAGAAGATTTAGTTAGGCCTTAGTGTTCCCATCTCCTATTACAATATATTTTCTGTGATTAGTCCCTTTCATTTATATCCACAATGTTAGCAAAGAATGGATTGAGGAAATAACAAATGGGTGGAAAAAAATCAAGAAAGCCATATATATCATTTTGGCAAAAAAAGCACAGACTTTCAGAATAAAATTAATTTGCCACTGAGAGGCTCATTGCCCAAGCTGCTTTTCCCAGTCAGCAGGTTTAACTCTGTGGTTCTTTATTCAGAGGACAGATTTTATCTGCTCATAAGGCTACAAGGTTTTCTTTTCTTCCCACCTCCATGTTATTTTTAAAAAGAAAGTAGGGAATGAAACTTACCCCTCAAAGTATTATAGATTTTGCTTCAACTGCAGAGATGTGGCCAATAATTAAAAAGTAACTCAGAAAATAGCAAAGAGTTTTAAAGACAAAACTCAGAATTCAATTACAATTAAAAAAACAGGCTGGATGGAGGTGGTGGAATTAATAATGCATAAAGATTAGAGAGAGCAGCTAAAGGAAGACTTTTATCATCTTAAAGTGCAGCCTTGGTGAGTTCTTAAAACTATAATGAATCCAAGGGAAGATGGGTTCCAACATATTCTGTTAGCAAAACTTGAACTTCCCACTAGGGGAGGAAGGCAGAGATAAACTGATATATACCAGAAGCTTTAACTACTGTTGTTGTCTAGAAAAAAGCAGCTTTACTGTTTTCAAGGCAGCTTTACCTGACTTGCTTAATGCAACAGTGATAAACTATAGTTGGTCCATCATTTACTATCATAGAAGGACATCTGTAAATTGCTTTCTCTGCCAGAGTATCAAAGATTTCCTAATATTGGTTATAGTCTTTTTGTCTGGCTAAAAATCTCTAGATAAGACAAATGAAATTAAATTTAGGCCAGTCCCATGGTATTTCTGTTTCTCATCATTAGAGTATAACCGAATGATGCTCTGTTAAGTTAAAGAAAACAGCAACTGAGTAAGCCACTACTGAGAAGCCAATGATATCATCCACATACATTCTCGCGGACCCAGTGCTGAAGTTTGGAGTTTCTTCTCCTTCACCTTCTTCTCTCTCAGGTAACTCACTGATGAAAGAGAAAGAAAAAAAAAATGACACAACTTATAAGACACGCTCCTATTATTAAAGGTTCTTGGAAAGTTTTGAAATTGCACAATCTGTAGGCAGCTAAATAGTTCTTATTTTTTAAGCCTTTAAAATACACACATCAATAAACATGCAAAGCAAAAATTTATTGCTTTAACATTCAACAAATCCAAACCTCCACCCAGCACCAGAAATTATAGAATTATTATAAATCTTTTTTTTTTTTTGAGACTGGGTCTCACTCTGTTGCCCAGATTAGAGTACGGTGGCATCATCATAGCTCATTAGAACCTCAAACTCCTGGGCTCAAGCCACCCTCCTGCTTCATTGCAACCACAAACTCCTGGGCTCAAGTGATCCTCCTGCCTCAGCCTCCCGAGTACCTGGGACTACACATGAGTACCACCTTGCCTGGCTAATTTTTCTTCTTGTTTTTAGAAACAGAGGTCTCGCTCTTGCTTCAGGCTGGTCTCAAACTCCTGGTCTCAAGCAATCCTCCCCCTTAGCCTCTCAAATTACTGGGATTACGGGTGTGCAGCACTGTGCCTGGCTATACACACTTTTATTGGTGACACTCTAGATGCTATTTTTTTAAAATATGTGTTTGATTTGTACAATTTCACATTTGTTTCTCCATCAATATATAAAATATATTCCTTACAATTTAGTATGGATTGACTAGCTAACAGATATAAATTGACATGTGTCATATATATCAAGTATAAATCAACACAAACAGGCAAACATGATACCTCTTTCTAGATTTTTCAGTAACTCTAACCCTAAATAATTCCTGTCACTTGTATCCCATGAATATTCTGTGTGGCCATATAATACTTTTCAGTTTATACATTTATACTTAATTAGTTACAAGAGTAATGAGATATAATAGGGTATAGAAAGACATTACCATATATTATCTAGAAGAAAAATCAGGCATCTTAAGTTCAAGTCTAACCTGTACTGTGAAATAGGTATGTGACTTTGGATCATCAAATGAAATATGTCTAATATTGTAAATTGCATTACTCTATACAAAGATGTGGCACCATCTCTTCCATCACATTTTCATAAAAACCCTCTAAAGTGAGCACAGCAGGCCATATTATTATTTTACACATGAGGGACTAAGGCTTAGACAAGGCTCAGACATACTACACAACCTCACAAGCTCTCCACATGTATCCAAATCTGTTTCAGTGCTAAGTTTCAATGCTCCATTTTTCCCTGAATGCTCAAATAAGGCCTGTAAAAAACAGCAAAACTCTACCTTCTGACCCCTGTATGGACTTTCTAAGATAAAACAGTCTTAAGGCCATGTGAAAAGGAGAAAGCCAATCCAAACACCAGTTAAGAAATTGGGATCATTAATATCTCACCCACTACCAGATGTCTTTCTTACCTTAGCCAGTCTAGTTTCTATGAAAGTATAAAATGCTATCAAAGTATCACAGCACTCAGGGAAAAACAATTTGGCAAACACTTGCTGGTTACTTATTTAATGTCTTTTTCTCCCCTTCTTCCTTACCAACATAACCTCTCTTTTATTCCAGGCGGCACTATGCCAGCTTTGGAAAAAAAACGTATTTTCTCGACTTCCTTTTAGCTAATGGGAACTGTTTTCCACAGTTCTGATCAGTGATACGGAAGCAAAAGTCCCAGGATGAGATTTCCAGGAAAACTCATCAAAGAGAGGGAGAATCAGCTGGAAGAAGAAGCCTTTTGCTCCATGCCTTCCTCTTCTTCTTGCCTAGAATGCAGAGGTGATGTTGGTGGTGAAGCATCCATCTTCAAGTCATAAAGAAACAATGAGGACCAAAGCCATACATTAAGGACAACAGAGCAGAAAGGAAGAAGGTACTTATGACCCTGATGACAGTAGCACCATACCAGCCTAAAACCACCTTCTACAAGACTTTTTGCATGAAAAAAAAATTAAGCTGTTTGGTTAATTTTGGTAATTAAGCAAGCTGTTTGGTAATTTTCAATGTCACACAAAACTCAGATTTTGGTTAGGCCACGCTAAGTGGGTTTTATGTTCATGAGCAGCTGGATGTAATCCTTCAATGAAACACCCATGATTCCACAACTTAACTGTCATCACTTTACCCTATCGCATTATTATTCTTTGCACATGTGTGCATATATGGGCATTGGATAGTTGTGGTCATAGCACAAACTTTCATATTTTGGTGATCTATGCCAATAGTAATAAGGATTAAATAAGATATGACTGGCACCTAACTGAGCCTCATCCAACGTTCATTTCCTTTATAATTTTTTTTTTTTTTTTGAGACAGAGTCTCGCTTTGTTGCCCAGGCTAGAGTGAGTGCCGTGGCGTCAGCCTAGCTCATCACAGCAACTCAAACTCCTGGGTCAAGCAATCCTGCTTGCTCAGCCTCCGAGTAGCTGGGACTACAGCATGCGCCACATGCCGGCTAATTTTATATATATATTAGTTGGCCAATTAATTTCTTTCTATTTATAGTAGAGACGGGGGTCTCACTCTTGCTCAAGCTGGTTTTGAACTCATGACCTCGAGCAATCCGCCCGCCTCAGCCTCCCAGAGTGCTAGGATTACAGGCGTGAGCCACCGCGCCCGGCTTATAATTTTTTAACTTGAATTTATATCAAAATTTCTCTAAATATTAATCTTTTTCATTTTTTAATTTAGTAGTCCCTAATAGTTCATGGTATTGATGTAATTTATCTGCTATCCCAGTAATACAATGACTTAGATTATATCCTGTTGTTTGAAATATGGATATTACTGCAAGGAATACTTCATGCTTCTGCTGTATTTAGAATTTTCCTTTAAATAATTAGTAATTGATGTAAAATTGAAAACTAAAACCAAAAAAACACTGAAATCTTCTTCCTCTCCATTTTCCACTTTCCTGTACCCCAAATCATAATAGGCAGTACTGGGGAAAAAAGGGCAAGTATTTTTACTATGGCACATTTATACTATCATTAAGGATTTAAATGCTTTAGTTTTTTTTTTTTAAACAACCTAAAAGAGAAGAGAAACCAAGCCTTAACAAATAGTAGGAGCTATTTGTTTTCTATTTTAAAAAGTAATACCAAAAATTTCCTGAACTTTGACTTTCACATACAACTCAGAAGAGAGAGAGTCTGTCTAGAATAAGAAAAAAGTTAGCTTTCTTTGGTAAGTACGTAACAAAAGGATCATTCTGTTGGAAGAGACTCACTGACTTTTCATGGCCTGCAC